GGGGTTGCCTCTCGGGTCTCCGTCGTCGGCACTCCTCTTCCTGTGAGGACTCCTCCGGGAGCCCCCATGAGTTAGGGAACAGAAACTGATCGTCGTCGTCATCCTCCGACTCCTCAGTATAAAACTGTTCCCACTCCTCTTCCCAAGGTCATAGGGACCCAATCTGAAAACCAACCGGGTGCAGTGGTCGGGGCTCTTCTCTCTCGCTCCCCGACCACCCCTTTAGCCCCCCAATTTTTTTTTCTTGGGGCTGTCTCTCGGGCTTCCTCCTCGACCGGCGTCCTCTGTGTTGCCGTTGCTCCTCTCCTGCCTGGGCATCTACCTTCGCCCATGGCCCTTTCCCCGCGAATATCTCTTCCCATGACCACAATTTGCCCACCTGTGACATGGCAATTCGCTCTTCCTGGGCACGCTGCTTGGTCCTTGTTTGGTGGGATCTTCTGTCACGTTCGTTCATCGACGGGTCAGACCAAGGCGCAGCGTGATATGCATACATGTTTATTTGGAACGAATAAACAAGCGACAAAACAACAAACTAAACGAAACGTGACGTCCACGGTACACAAACAACATACCTCACACGGAACAAGATCCCACAACCCACTAGTGCCAATAGGCTGCCTAAGTATGGTCCCCAATCAGAGACAACGAGCGACAGCTGCCTCTGATTGGGAACCACACCGGCCAACATAGATCTAGACATACTAGAACTACAACATAGAAATACACAACATAGAAACTACACACCCTGACTCAACATATACGAGTCCCCTGAGTCAGGGCGTGACAGTAAAGTTCCCAAATGTAAGAGGACTCCCGTGGTATTTCTATATTTGCAGAAATCCATTCAGGTGTATTTTGTGGCTTTTGGTGAATGCGGTCTAATGATCTAAAGTCGTTGCTACTGATTATAAACACACAGTCCAGTTCAAAGTGAATGATGGCAGGCCCGTGTGGCAAATGGCTTGTTTGCATAAAGGCCTACTGTAGCTCTGATTGGCTATGGTGCACCGGTCTGTGTAGACTCCGGTCCTGGACAAGACAGGGACCACGCAGCTGTCATACCGCTCAGGAAGGAGACGCATTCTGTCTCCTAGAGATTAACGTACTTTGGTGCAAAAACAGCAAATAAATCCCAGAACAACAGCAAAGGACCTTGTGAAGATGCTGGAGGAAACAGGTACAAAAGTATCTATATCCACAGTAAAACGAGTCCTATATCGACACATGTAATATAATATAACTGTTTGGCCATAAGGACCATTGTTATGTTTGGAGGATAAAGGGGGTGGCTTGCAAGCCGAAGAACACCATCCCAACCGTGAAGCACGGGGGTGGCAGCATCATACTGTGGGGGTGCTTTGCTGCAGGAGGGACTGGTGCACTTCACAAAATAGATGGCATCATGAGGAAGGGAAATTATGTGGATATATTGAAGCAACATCTCAAGACATCAGTCAGGAAGCTTGGACGCAAATGGGTCTTCCAAATGGGCAATGACCCCAAGCATACTTCCAAAGTTGTGGCAAAATGGCTTAAGGACAACAAAGTCAAGGTATTGGAGTGGCCATCACAAAGCCCGGACCTCAATCCTATAGAACATTTGTGGGCAGAATTGAAAAAGCGTGTGCGAGCAAGGAGGCCTACAAACCTGACTCAGTTACACCAGCTCTGTCAGGAGGAATGGGCCAAAATCTACCCAACTTATTGTGGGAAGCTTGTGGAAGGCTACCCGACACATTTGACCCAAGTTAAGCAATTTAAAGGCAATGCTACCAAATACTAACTGAGTGTATGTAAACTTCTGACCCACTGGGAATGTGATGAAAGAAATAAAAGCTGAAATAAATCATTCTCTCTACTATTATTCTGACATTTCACATTATTAAAAAAAGTGGTGATCCTAATTGACCTAAAACAGGGAATTTTTACTAGGATTAAATGTCAGGAATTGTGAAAAACTGAGTTTAAATGTATTTGGCTAAGGTGTATGTAAACTTCCGACTTCAACTGTATGCAGTGGTAAGTGTGATTAATAGAATATACAGTACATTCAGAAAGTATTCAGACCCCTTGACGTTTTCCACATTTTGTTACGTTACAGCCTTATTCTAAAATGGATGAAATTGTTTTTCCCCCTCATCAATCTACACACAATGCCCCATAATGACATAGCAAAAACAGGTCTTTAATGTTTGCAAATGTATAAAACAATTTTTTAATCACATTTACATAAGTATTCAGACCCTTTACTCAGTACTTTGTTGAATCACCTTTGGCAGCGATTACAGCCTCAAGTCTTCTTGGGTATGACGCTACAAGCTTGGCACACCTGTATTTGGGGAGTTTCTCCCATTCTTCTCTGCAGATCCTCTCAAGCTCTGTCAGGTTGGATGGGGAGCGTCACTGCACAGCTATTTTCAGGTCTCTCCAGAGATGTTCGATCGGGTTCAAGTCCGGGCTCTGGCTGGGCCACTCAAGGACATTCAGAGACTTGTTCCGAAGCCACTCCTGCGTTGTCTTGGCTGTGTGCTTAGGGTCATTGTCCTGTTGGAAGGTGAACCTTCACCCCAGTCTGAGGTCCTGAGCGCTCTGGAGCAGGTTTTCATCAAGGAGTCCCTGACACATACGTCTCGTGTCTGAGCCGTTGAATTGCGATTCAACTTTATCTCTGTACTGATGTTTTGCCTGTTTGATTGCCTTACAGAGGGCATAACTGGACTGTTTGTATTCAATCATAATCCCAGTCACCTTGCTGTGGTTAAATGCGGTGGTTCGCGCTTTCAGTTTTGCGCAAATGCTGCAATCTGTCCATGGTTTTTGGTTTGGATAGGTTTTAATTGTCACAGTGGGAACAACATCCCCTATACACTTTCTGATAAACTCAGTCAGTGTATATGTCAATGTTATTCTCATAGGCAAACCGGAACATGTCCCAGTCCGTGTGATCAAAACAGTCTTGGAGCATGGATTCCGATTGGTCAGACCAGCATTGAATAGACCTTAGCACGGGTACTTCCTGTTTGAGTTTCTGCCTATAGGAAGGGAGGAGCAAAATGGAGTCGTGATCTGATTTGCTGAAGGGCGGGTAGGGGAGGTCCTTGTAGCCATCCATGAAGGGAGAATAACAATGGTCTAGAGTTTTTGAAGCGCGAGTTCGGCAGGCGATGTGTTGATAGAACTTCGGTAGTGTTTTCCTCAGATTAGCTTTGTTAAAGTCCCCTGCTATAATAAATGCAGCTTCAGGATATGCGGTTTCCAGTTTGCTCAGGGTCCAGTGTAGTTCCTTGAGGGTTGTCGTGGTGTCGGCTTGAGGGGGAATATACACGGCTGGGACTATAACCAAAGAAAATTCTCTAGGGAGGTAATGCGTTCGACATTTGATTGTGAGGTATTCTAGGTCGGGTGAACAAAAGGACTTGAGTTACTGTACGTTACCACAATCACACCATGAGTAGTTCATCATGAAACATATGCCTCCACCGTTGGAGATTGTTTGAAGACATTCCTATTCCGTATCAGCCCTGTTTGAATCACCTTTTCTATTACTATTTCTATGTGAAAAGCCAGTCTGAATAAATGTCTGAATAAATAACTGCTGTAGTCTACCACCATGACACGTTCTCTCTTCTTTATAACTACCTGTGAGTTCTTTTGGCTGCTGTATTTAACATTCAGCAAACGAGAGCTTGCATCCCAAACAGCGTTTTTAAGGAGAGGCCAGCGGAGCGCAGGTGCTTATTGCATAAGAGACAGAGGCTATAAGTTAGCTTATTATGCATACGCCTTCATTAATTAGCTAAAGATGAGGCTAATAAGATGAAGCTGAGTAGGTACGCGCTTTCAGTGTCCTGGGGGTTATCACTCTCTCTCTCCCTCTCTCTTAGCTCCTCTCTCCTCTCTCTCTCTCTTCTCCTCTGTCCGTACCTCGTCGTCCCCTCTCTCTCTCTCTCTCCTCTCTCTCTCTCTCTCTCTCTCTCTCCCTCTCCCTCTTCGTTCTCTCACTTCTCTTCTCTTTTGGTTCTCTCTCTATCTGTCTCTATCTCTCTGTCTCTCTCTCTCTTACTCTTCTCTCTCTCTCTCTCTCTCTTCTCGCTCTCTCTCTCTCTCTCTCTCTCTCTCTCTCGCTCTCTCTCTATATATATATATTTTTTAATTGCAGCTGCAGAGTCTTAAAACAGCCCATCACTCGAATATCGTTGCTTTAAATCCGTGCCCACGCGTACACTCTCTCATGTCAGTGGCATGTCATTAATAAAGATTGAAAAAAGTAAGGGGCCTAGACAGCTGCCCTGGGGAATGCCTGATTCTACCTGGATTATGTTGGAGAGGCTTCCATTAAAGAACACCCTCTATGCAATACAAAATAATATACACTGAGTGTACTAAACATTAGGAACATTTTCCTACTATTGAGTTGCACCCCCCCCCCCCTTTTGCCCTCAGAACAGCCTAAATTCGTAGGGGCATGACCTCTACAAGGTGTTGAAAGCGTTCCACAGGGATGCTGTCCCATGTTGACTCCATTGCTTCCCACATTTGTGTCAAGTTGGCTGGATGTCCTTTGGGTGGTGGACCATTCTTGAGACACACGGGAAACTGTTGAGCATGAAAAACCCAGCAGCGTTGCAGTTCTTGACACATTCAAACAGGAGCGCCTGACACCTACTTCCATAGCCATTTTTAAAGGCACTGAAATATTTTGTCTTGCCCACTCACCCTCTGAATGGCACATTCCTCAATTGTCTCAAGGCTTAAAAACCCTTCTTTAATCTGTCTCCTCCCCTTCATCTACACTGATTGAAGTGGATTTAATAATTGACATCAATAAGGGATCATAGCTTTCACCTGGATTCACCTGGTCAGTCTTATGTCATGGAAAAGAGCAGGTGTTCTTTAATGTTTTGTACACTCAGTGTATATGACTTTTATAAAGCCAAAAACAAATTGTATTTTCTCTCCCAGGTGTCTCCAGAATATGCCCTCGGGACGGTAGCACTATGACCTTGAACCCTTCCTCCTCTGCAGACCCCAGTATGTACCTGGCCAACAGCTCCCCGGGGATGAGGACCACCATCCTGGGCTTGGGCCTTGTGCTGGACAACGACTTGACTACCAGGGACCTCACCAACCTGACCAGGTTAGAGGTTAGAGGGGTTAGGGTTAGAAACCGAATCCTAGAGCTGACTCTGAACCTCTCCGTGGGGGTCTATGTCTCAGAAAGGTTGGGATAAAGGGAAAATACACATTTCATTGTTTCTGTGACAATTAACAAAGTAATCATCTTCTTCTTCTTCGACCAGCCCGTCCAACGCCTCCCTCCTTGACCCCATGGTGACCTATGACCCTCTAGGAGGTCACACGGTCTGGCAGGTCATCCTGATCGTGTTCTTCACCGGGTCTCTGTCTCTGGTCACCGTCGTAGGAAACATCCTGGTGCTCATCTCCTTCAAGGTACATTGTAGGCCTAGATGAATGTTACATTGTATTATGACTGCCTGTAATTGTTTATAGTGTAAATAGGCTTGTCCGAGCCAGAACGGCCCACAGGGCAGGAGCATATCTCCTGTTTATGTAGCGTGAGGTAGCTTGATGGCATGTGTATCACAGGCCGTAATTATTGCAGCGTGCACGTGCCTCAAAACTCTTACTGAATGGTCCACAACATTGTTTTTTAACAGCTTTTAACATCATATGTCTTGTTAATTGATGTCATATTGTGGAGTGACACTTTAATAATAATTGTTTCTCTTCTCTCTTCCAGGTGAACAAGCAGCTGAAGACGGTGAATAACTACTATCTCCTCAGCCTGGCCTTCGCTGACCTCATCATCGGTATTTTTATTGTACTTAGTGTTTTCATACGTGTATAGATGGTGTAATGTATCATAGCTGATATTAATGATATATATTGTACTATGATTGCCTACAGTGTCTCAAAAATGTGTAATATGTATTGTCAATTACTGTAACATTGGATTGAAACTAAAATACTATGTTCCCAACTCTACCTCCAGGAACTCTTTCCATGAACCTCTACACCACTTACATCATCATGGACCAGTGGGCTTTAGGGAACTGGGCGTGCGACCTGTGGTTGGCTATCGACTACGTGGCGAGCAACGCCTCCGTCATGAACCTGCTGGTCATCAGCTTCGACCGCTACTTCTCCATAACGCGACCTCTGACTTACCGGGCCAAGAGGACCACCAAGAGAGCTCTGACTATGATCAGCATGGCCTGGTCCGTGTCCTTCGTCCTGTGGGCCCCGGCCATACTCTTCTGGCAGTACATCGTAGGGGAGCGCACTGTGCCTCCTGGAGAATGCTACATCCAGTTTCTCTCAGAGCCTATTATCACCTTCTGCACGGCCATCGCTGCCTTCTACCTGCCGGTCACCATCATGACGGTTCTCTACTGGAGGATCTACAGAGAGACAGAGAACAGGCAGAAGGACCTGGCGGGGCTGAGGGGGTCGGGGGCAGGGAACAAGGCAGGCCATGGGGGCAGCCAGAAGGAGGAGGAGGAGAAGAAGGAGGAGGCCCAGGAAGAGGAGGCTCCCATGGTGCCCAAGACGGGAAGCTCCAGGAGCTGCAGCAGTTACGAGCTTAACCAGGCCGGTCAGAAAGGCTCTGGAGCCAAGAAGACCAGAGGGCGCTTCCGGTTCTGGCCACTGAGTAGGTGGTCCAAGAAGAAGGCGACCACAGTGGGCGGAAAGCCGGAACACAGCAGCTCCGATAGCTGGAACAACAACGAGGGGGGCGGGGCCTCCATGGACCAATCAGACTCTGAGGACGAGGAGGGGGCGACGGAGTCAAGCCGAGCTATCTATTCCATCGTGGTCAACCTGCCGGGGATAAACCCCGCCCCTGGCAACGACCCTAACAATGACCCCCAGCTGACCTCTCCTGAGGACCAGGATGCTACGGAGGAGGACCCTCCCCGGCCACCAGGGGGCGATAATAAGGACAAGAAGACGTCCTCCAAAACCAGGAGGGAGAAGGGGGAGAGAGACAAGGAAGACAACAGCTACCAACGCTCCAAGACCCCCGTCACCTCCTCATCCTCCATCCAGAGCCAACCAGGGGACATGTCCTCCACCTCTAAGTCCCCCTCCTCAGCCCCTTCAGCCCCCATCTCCCTGAAGGACGCAGCCATGGCCAAGCGCTTGGCCTCCAAAGCCAAGAGCCAGATCAGCAAGCGTAAGAAGCAGAGTGTAGTCAAGGAGAAGAAAGAGAAGAAGGCTGCCCAGACCCTCAGTGCCATCTTGTTGGCTTTCATCATCACCTGGACTCCCTATAACATTATGGTGTTGGTCAACACCTTCTGTACTGACTGTATCCCCGAGGCGCTGTGGTCTCTGGGCTACTGGCTGTGCTACGTCAACAGCACCATCAACCCCATGTGTTACGCCATGTGCAACCTGACCTTCAGGAATACCTTCAAGATGATTCTGCTCTGCCGCTGGCAGGACATCAACAAACACAACAAGCCCCAGTTCCAGCAGAGGCAGACGGTCGCCTTCCGCAAGAAGGAGCCCTAGCAGATGTGATCTCCTGGGGTCTGGGTCAGCTGTAGGCCTCTGTGGGCTCGACAGGTAGTTGTCCAGGGAGATGGACTGGATTTACCAGCCTTTCTCATCGATGCAGACAGAGGTCAATGTTAATACAAAGAACAATGGTAACACCAGGAATAAAATACACAATTATTATAAATTAACTCTGCATCTCTTCCAACTATTGACTTTTTTCCCCCCCACAACTGCCACCAGTTTGGTGCCAAAACATTGACAACAAAGACATATTGACATAGTAAAATAAATACATTTAACAGGACCAATGGTATTCACTAAGTTGGTTTATATTTAGGATAATGTTTTACTGTATTGATTGTGTTGGTGCAGTATAGTGTACTGCCTCTCTGGGCTGCTACAGACCCAGGACTGTATTGGTGCAGTGTAGTGTAATGCCTCTCTGGGCTGCTACAGACCCAGGACTGTATTGATTGTGTTGGTGCAGTATAGTGTAATGCCTCTCTGGGCTGCAGTACATTACAGAACCATGGAGGTGAACAAATCCAACCAGTCCTCTGTGTTCCTGTGTTGTTTTCCACCTGTCACAGCAGATCAAAGGGCCAGACAGCAGTGACATGGACAGAATGGACAGAAGGGGAGATTTGATCTTTAGGGCAGTCAACCCAACGGGATATTTATACATGGATGGATGGGGAGATTTGATCTGTAGGGCAGTCAACCCAACGGGATATTTATACATGGATGGATGGGGAGATTTGATCTGTAGGGCAGTCAACCCAACGGGATATTTATACACGGACGGAAGGGGAAATTTGATTTATTTGATTAGATTTTTAGGGCACTCAACCCAACAGGATTTGTACACAAAAAAGGGCTGTCAAATGTATGAGAACATCTGTTGCCTGGTTTTAACTGAACTGTTGCTAGACAGCTACAGAACTTCAACAATCCTACAGAACACAGTTACAGAACTTCAACAATCCTACAGAACACAGTTACAGAACTTCAACAATCACACAGAACACAGTTACAGAACTTCAACAATCCTACAGAACACAGTTACAGAACTTCAACAATCCTACAGAACACAGTTACAGAACTTCAACAATCCCACAGAACACAGTTACAGAACTTCAACAATCCTACAGAACACATCTGCCTTTCCAGTTGGCAGATAGATACAATTAGGTGAATCAGTGGACATGTAAAGCTGCAGTACTTTATAAAGGTGCAGTACTTTGTAAAGGTACAGTACTTTGTAAAGGTTCAGTACCTTGTAAAGATGCAGTACTTTGTAAAGGTACAGTACTTTCATGTAAAGGTGCAGTACTTTGTAAAGGTGCAGTACTTTCATGTAAAGTGCAATACTTTCATGTAAAGGTGCAGTACTTTCATGTAAAGGTGCAGTACTTTCATGTAAAGGTGCAGTACTTTCATGTAAAGGTGCAGTACTTTCATGTAAAGGTGCAGTACTTTCATGTAAAGGTGCAATACTTTCATGTAAAGGTGCAGTACTTTCATGTAAAGGTGCAGTACTTTCATGTAAAGGTGCAGTACTTTCATGTAAAGGTGCAGTACTTTCATGTAAAGGTGCAGTTCTTTCCAAGAGTCTGTGAGTGGCATGCTACTCTGCTCTTTGATTCCTCCCAATGAGTTCTGGTGAGAAGTGAACTACTTCGGTATATTTGTCTGTCTACAAAATCTGATTCATCATCAGCCAGTAACCTTTCATTCCCATGTTATTTAATGTGTTTGGCTAATATTCTGTGTGGTCGCCGGTGATGATTTTAACAACGTGTGGTGACCATTGTGGTGGTTGTAATCGTTGCTCAAAGTGAGACAGTGTTGTAAATAGAGTTGCAAAATTCTGGTAACTTTCCCAGAATTCACATGTTTTCAAAAAAATCCCGGTAGGAAGACTCCTGAAATCAGGAGGGAATGGTCAGGAAATGCTGGACTCCTTCCAATCGGGATTTCTGGAAAACCTGGGAATTTGGGGAAAGGTACTGGAATTCAGCATCTCTAGTTGTAAGACACAGGGCTGGTGTACAAGCTGCTTATATTATATAAATAACCCTGTGATTATGAGGTAATATTTACATAGTGACTGTGTGGATACTTTCAATTAATGTTTATGTATGATGCAGTTATATGTTTATATACAATGATTGTTATATATTTTTTATAAAATAATGTGTCCCGGTCAAAGATGTTCACATGCACATGATGAGGGACAAGTCAAATTGCAATAAAGTAAAACGTATGTAATTAAATATATGTTTTACAATTGAGACATATTGACAAAATTGATATCCACAGGTCTTTCTGATGAGTTTTTCATACAAGTCAAATACCACAATATGATAATGGTTCTACGACTACGATGGTTACTAGCTATGAAACAAGTGGACCTGAGGTGAGATGTTGCCAGTGGTTGACTTGATAATGGTTCTACGACTATGATGGTTACTAGCTATGAAACAAGTGGACCTGAGGTGAGATGTTGCCAGTGGTTGACTTGGGGCAGGAGCTCACCCGAACAGAGTACCGGCACCTCTGCTTGAGTTACTGCACCCCTTATAGAATATTACCTCAAAAAAGTATTTGCCGAGTTCCAGCACCTAAATATAAACAGTACCAGCACTCAAAATGAGTATCGGCACCTATTTCAGTCCCAAGTCAAGCACTGGGTGTTGCCCATCTTTTTCCAGGTGGAGAATGTCAGTAGTCAAACAGCTCCACCTAGTGGTATAACTGTAGTGTGACTAGTACAGTATTGATGGTTGGCTCCAAGCTGTGTATTAGTGGTGCTGTATTATTTTAGGAGTAACTGATGTCACTTAATTAGTCTGAAATCCAGACCCGTTTTGTGCTAATATTCCACCCCCTGTACTCCGTGTCAAATGTTTAGCATGAGAGTGGAATGTTAGCATAAACAGACTGGTGTCCAGGCAACCACTTAATAACATTCACAGTTATGTTTTTGTCTCCTCGCGGTGTTAGCTGATGTGGGATTGGGTGCCGGGAGGACAGTTTTGTTGACATGATGACTCTCATGGATTTCACTAGTTGACCAGGACACACAATGAGTTGACCAGGACACACAATGAGTTGACCAGGACACACAATGTGTTGACCAGGACACACAATGAGTTGACAAGGACAAACAATGAGTTGACCAGGACACACAATGAGTTGACCAGGACGCACAATGTGTTGACCAGGACGCACAATGAGTTGACCAGGACAAACAATGAGTTGACCAGGACGCACAATGAGTTGACCAGGACAAACAATGAGTTGACCAGGACACACAATGAGTTGACCAGGACACACAATGAGTTGACCAGGACACACAATGAGTTGACCAGGACACACAATGAGTTGACCAGGACACACAATGAGTTGACCAGGACACACAATGAGTTGACCAGGACAAACAATGAGTTGACCAGGACACACAATGAGTTGACCAGGACGCACAATGTGTTGACCAGGACGCACAATGAGTTGACCAGGACACACAATGTTGGACTTTAATTTTTTTCAAGACGTTTTAACGAGTGTTCTAGTTTTCAAATACACCTTTTTTGACACAAGAACTATACAAGATGTTTGGTTTTATCACACCATGTATGATGGAATGACGTGCAGCTTCATTTATTCGTTTTGGATGAATACATTTCCATGTCCTAGCATGCAGCCCAAATGCCACCATATTCACTATGTAGTGCACTGCTGGGCTCTGGTCAAAAGTAGTGCACTATATAGGGAATAGGGTGCCCTTTGGGACTCACGAATATACTTAATCTATGAATGCATTTCCAGGACACCATTCTAAAGACTGACTGTCTTCTCTGCATTGTTTTTGTACATTGATATAGAGATGGAAGTTATTAGAAGAGACGTGAACAATGTATAAAATTAGCTTGACCTATACCTAAAGATTTTAGTCAAAGTCAGAGGATTGGAATACAACTAGTTGTAAATGTGGCCTGGTTGTGGTTCCTCTGTGGCAGGGATGGGCCACTTGGATGAGGGACACAAAAACATCTGAACTCATCATGAGGGGCCGCAGCGGCTCACGGGTCTGGGTACCCACATTTTGCCATGGGGCGGTGAGTAAAATGTGTGCAGTATTACAGCTAATTTGCCGTAGGCTTGAGATAAATATTTGCTGTTTTTATTATGATATCTGAGTGAGAGTGACTAACAGTATCAAATGGGGCCCCCCAGTCAGTAATTCGACTAGCTGGCTAGACTGATTTACCAATCTAAAAAAACGTTAGCTGACATGGGCTAATTGAGTGACTGTCAGTGACTGACATAAGAGAAAAAATTGTTGATGTACAAACAAATTTTGAAATGGTACCTTGTGCATTCTACTATACAGTAAGTTGAGACCCTGACTGAGTTCCTACAAAAAACAAAACAAATGTTTTGATTTTTTGGTTTTAGAAAATCTGCAGGCCGCCAGTTGCCAACCGCTGCTCTATGGTTCTGTAGTGGCTGCTAATCTGCAGGTCCTACTTGAGAAGGCAGCATTTCCTGTTCTTACAACGAGTGCGTCCTAAATGGTACACTATTCTCTATTTAGTGCACTACTTTTGACCTATTTAGTGCACTACTTTTGACCAGGGCCCGTATAGGGAATAGGGCCCCATTTTGGACGCAATATTGTATCCCTCCTTTAAATTGTTCAGTATGATATGTGATCGGATCAACAGAAGGATAAGTCATTTACCAAGTGTTTTATAAATCCATATTTTGTGTTATTTCATTTTTATAATGATATGATTGACTTGTGGTATACAATCTTATGCTCGTGATATTTTATAAGAGATGTTTCATTTGAACATTTGTTTGTTTGTTAGTATCACCTGATTGACACAAACTGCAGTTACAAGTTATGAGGATATGATGAGTTTGGATTTTTGTCGCCAGTAAAGCACTTCTGAAGGCACTAATTTTAATGACAAATCATTTGAAGGCTTTTTTTTTTTGTATGT